ATATTAATTTTATATTAATATAATGCTTGCTTCCCCATACAAACTTTCATACCCGTTTTCAGCCCCTTAAGGGATGATTTCCGGGATAAAAAGTATTCTATGTCCTTCCCAGGGTCTCAAACTATCTTCATACCAAATTTCATCTAAATCGGTTCAGTAGGTCCAGAGATTACCCCCTACAGCGTCACAAACTCATAAACTTTACCTCATTATAGATACTAGGTATAGATTGCCTTTTAACTTAAAAGGTCTGCCGATTACAAAATCTCTTTAAATATTAACACCACTTTTGGGATATTTTATCTCGAAAATGGAACCACTATAGATATAACCTAAAAGAATAAAAATCAGCTCCCATATCTCCTAATAGATACACAAGACACACATACCATCAAAACGAGTACCCCTTTCTTTTAAAGTCCGTACATGAATGTACGCCTTTTGGCAGGTAAAAGCTTTATCTTAGGTACAAAAGCTTCCTAAATTAGTCAATAAATTATAATTTAATTAAATTATACGTACTTGTAAATAACAACGCTTATGCGGTTCGTGATAAAGTTCATAATCACTTGACGATCCATCTGGCTTTTGAGTACAACGCCACTGTAACAAAGAAATTGAAACATAAATAAACCTGAAAAGTGTTGAAAAAAGAAAGAATAGTGTTGCTTAGTAAGTTGTTTTTAAATAATAGCAAACTAAATTAAAATTATAATCCTTAATTAATTTTAACTTTTTAAATTACACATTGAACAATTATATGGCTTTAATAATTAATACTATATTTATTATTTTTCTTTATGGTTATAAATATAATAATGGCAACACTAAATATAGATTACTAATTAATATTTTTAAAATTGTAATAATTATAAAAATAATAGCAAAAATTAAATAAATAATTTTCCATATTCAATTATAATTAAAATTATAAAAATGTTTAAAGTTAAAATATTGTAATGTAATTGGTACAATTTTCATTTTGTTGATTGTGGGTAGGCTGTCTGTAACAACTATATCTTTAAGACATGTAACACCTCAGTCTCTCCCGTGACCATGGATGCTGTAAAGCATTCGAAACGTCGGGAACCAAAAATCAAAATAAATCCGCGAAATAATCCGAAAAGATAGTTTTATTTAATAATGAAAAGTTTTTATTTACAAGCTACTTACCGTCGCTTTGCTTGGGTGCGACCCTTGTCTTTTCTATACCTTTAATTAAATTCTAAGAATATTTTATTCTAACAATTATTATCAATACAGAGACCGAATCTATCGTTTTTAGATTTTTTGTCTATCTGTCTGTCTGCCTACCTGTCTGGGAACGCATCTCAAGAAAACCACTTGACGGATTTTGATGAAATTTGGTATGATGATAGCCGGTTATCAGGGTCAAGAAATAGGATACTTTTTACTGCGGGAAAATATCTCATGGCTCAGAAGTCTATACTAAACTTTAAACGTAACTAGGGACGAACCCAACCGGAGCGATGGTGAATCTATGTATTTATAATATTATATTCTAAAAATACCACAAGTGTTAAATTCAGATTGACAAAGGAAATATTAATATGGAAGAATATCTATAAAAAAAAACACAAAAAATTCAATCAAAACAAAATAACTTTAATTTTCTTAATAATTCTAAAATAACTTTTTTAAATAGTAATAATATTAGCAAAAACATCCACATCTCCAAATCGATTTGATTTCTTAAAATTTTATAATGGAATGTCATGTTATATACGTAACAACAAAACGACAGCTAGACCATCACAGAGTATTTCAATTTGTCATTGTATGAAGGTATTGTCGTAAATCTATACGTCGAAAATGTATTTGAAACAGAAATGAAAATTTTAGCTGATATCTCAGGAATCTTGTATGTGTACTGTGTACTCGCTTCGATCGGGCTTGTAAAGAATAGATAGACTATGTGTATATATATATATATATATATATATATATATATATATATATGTTATGTATTTGTCACTCTCCAACCCTCTAATTATCTCCACACAAAAATCATGCCAATCGATCGCTCTGTTTCGACGTGAAAATAGAACAAACAAACACACTTTCACATTTATGATATTAGTATGGACTATTTAAGAATTTGTTAAATTCCTATATATAAACCTTCTATCATCAGACAAGCTCTAATATTATTATATTGCCATCAAAGTAATATTGTTATGCCTTTCTACTCAAGTGAATGCCAGTAAGTGCTCAAAATATAATATATTATTTTATGAAAACAGAAAGGCAGACTTTTAAAAAATCTATATATTATCATTTATACATTGTACATATTTTTAAGAAGGTTGTATTCATAAGGTATCCTAAAGATGGAATAGATTGATTCACAATTCGAACTTTTATAAATCTATCAACAATTCTGAGAGGAAATATTAAGGAACTACTCCATAGTAAAAAAACTGAAATAATTTAATCGCTTAAACACTGAATTATTAAACGTATACTTCAACTAAGGTACATAACGTTAACGTTGGCTTACTATTACAAGGTTCTATGTTAATTTTAATGAAGTTTAGTAATTTTTACATAAAACTTCGTTATTTTGCTATCATAAAAAAAAACAACATAGCACTATGTAAAATTGAATATTTTGTAGTTAAAGTGCCGCTATCTAGTGGTTTGTTTTTGCAAAACTGTAGCTAATGACACATAGAACCGTGTAGCATTCATAACTAAATAAGTACTAAAATTGTAACATAGAACTTTATAATAGTGAACCAAAGAATTATATCAAATTTAATAACGTATACTTAAATCTGATATTGGCTCTAACTTCATATGGACTTGGGAACTTATGAAACAAACTTTCACTTGATTTTTGTGATTAAGCCCGGATATATTACTTAAAAAAAGTATAGTAAAAAGGGTGAATGAGCAAACGATTCACCTGATGGTAAGTGGCTATAGCCGCTCACAGGCATCTGCAACATCATAGGAGTTGCGAATGCGTTAAGGTTGAGTTGTAGTGGAGGGGTGGCCCACTTCGGTAGGTAGTGTACCATGCGGGTTGCTCCTGGTACTTTTCTGATGGACTGCTACCAGACTGAATCGAACTGGACCGTTGGAGCAACCCCATGGTTGTTATGGTCTGCTTCGGCAGGCCTGCCGTCGCGGCGTCGTGGTTGATTGCGTAAGGCGTAAGTGATCCCGCGACGACATATAGTATTAAGACGAATGAGGTTTTGTTTAGTTTTAGTGGTTTTAGTGGTTAACTATATGTCTCCATCTAAATCTATAAATTAAGTTTGCGATTCATAAGTACTTGTAAAAAAGTAATTACATAAGGTTATATTTATTTCTTGTTTCAAGATAAACAAAGAATAAGACAAAAAAACAAACAAAAGGACTGAAATGCTAATATTTATAGAAGTAAAATTATATACTACTAGCGACTTACTCTTGTTTCACTTCGGGTTCCTCCCTAGACAATAACAAATCTGTCCCACGGGAACCATTTACCGGGATAAAAAGAAGCGTATGTATTATTCCAGACTATAATCTATCTCTATGTCAAATTATATCCAGACCTTTTCAGCTTTTCTGGCGTGAAAGAGTTACAAACATCCATTCATCCTTACAAACTTTCACATTTATAATATTAGTGGATGGACATGAATACAAATTGATGAATATAAAAGGAACATGTATATCTAATGACCCGATTTATACTTCAATTTTGGAACCCCGACAAGAATACACCGTGCACTTTGAAATTTGTAAGAAACTAGCGTTTTCTTGCGGCTCCGTCTATGTCATTTAATTACTTTGCACTCTATAAAACGCAAATGTATTTTTTCAAAACAAACCAGTAAAAGAGATCAGGAAGCTCAAATAAACTTTTCAGTTTTACATATTGGTATAGCTATAAATAAGCTCATCAGGCTTTATCGGAAGCTGCGGCTATTGTATCTTATATAGTTTTAGATTCTTGAAACTCAATTATTAAGTTTGTCAAGCCAATATTGACATAGTTTGTAATATTATTTTGAAATTGAACTTCGTCTTGTGTTACGAAGACCAAGACCATAAAACTTTGAAAAATTACAAATATAATTAAAATAGTTCGTTATATATAAATTTAGTTGAGACACCTGAACGTGAAATTAAAATAATAACATAAAGTCACAACAAAAAAAACAATCGTCAATTTTTTTTTGTTTTTCTATATGTAAACGTTTGTCTCTATAATGGCCGGAAGAGAAATGAAGTTTCCGCAAGATAGAGGGTTGAAATTTATGATTTTATTGGCGGCGGATATAGGTATATCTTGTGTAGATATCTATGTATACCTTATCATCTAGGCTCAAAATAGAAGAATTAGTCAACAGATTCTATTTTGATTTTTTGTTTAGTAGCTATTGACGAGCGTTAGTGTTATCAATAAAAAGATTTTTTTTTATATATTAACATAAATTCTAATCATTTATGTATGGTCCAGGGATGGAAATCATTACACGTTCTTGGGCCGGTTGAGTTTAATTATAAAGAGTATACGTCTTTCTCTTCATGCTGCTTCCTCGTTCCCTTATTCACTTACTCATTCACTTACAATATCTATTGCTCATCTTATTTATCCTACATACATGTTTTCCTCAAATTTTCCAAAATGATCATAATCATCATCCTCATCTCAATGATTATTATGATGGAATTTCTACCACTGGTAAACACGAGCAGACGATCATAGAACCTCCTCTTTTTTGGAAGTTGGTTAAAAAATATTTTAAATTAAACAGTTTTTTTAAATTATATATGTATAGTGTATCAACTATCTGGTATACATAACACAAGGCTCGTAGCTTATCAGGGAACTAGATTGTGTTGTGTTAATGTCCCAATATAAAATAATAATAATCATTATCACAGACGAAGCGAGGAAATGTTGCTAGTATATAAACAAAATACACAATTCCAAAAAAAGAACAACAAATTTTAGAACAAAACTACTTCAATATTCAACAATTTTCATAATTTAGATTTCGACTCACCGTGAACTTGGTCTGTTGACACATCGCTCGTCCACACAGCAGCTTGTGTACTGAACGCTGGAAGTTTCTCGTCATGAGACAGTAAACGATCGGGTTGATGGCTGAATTGGCGTGACCTGAGGGAATGACGGCATTATTATTAACTAAGTTGAACTATTTACTTAGTACAAACTTGTATAGCAGAACATGAAGTAGTCTCAGCGCTCATTTGTTCAAACGACCAATTGCCGAAAGAGTTTTTAATAGAGTTTTTGAATTTTAAATTACAATTTTATTGGTGTAAAATACTCAGTTTAATTTAAAAAAGCGGAAATGATATATGTAATATAAATGTATATATATCTTAAAAATAAAGCTTGCTTTTAAAAATAGAGGAAAAAAAATATCTACTGTAAAATACAACAAGTATTCGTAGTTTAAACAAATAAGCTATAAGGCGACCATGAATCTATTGAATTTTGTATATATGTTTGTAAATTTATTACAGTAATGAGGTATCTATTAAACTTAAAATATATTTTTATTCTCGACTTTTTTAGTATGAACTGGGACATATGACTATGTCGCTTATCTCTAAAATCATCGAGATTTGTTTCAGTTGTTTGTCTGAAACAGGTTATCTGAAATCACATAATATTAAATGAGCAATTCTTGTGTATTTATTCTATTTCTTGTATCTCAGAAACGGCTCTAATGATTTGGATAAAATTTAGATAAATTTATCTATCTATATGTCTTTTCGGAAAAAAAACTCAATTTTTACATCGTTTCCGAAAAAATGCGATATTACAAAACGATGAACGACACTTGGTCTCGCAAGTACTCACACTTATGAGTGGAGTTATACATAAATAAACTACATGAGCAAAGTCACGGGTAATATAAAAGAAAAAGCCACATAAAAAATGACGGTTAAGTGGGTTTTATTACGATGCCCAAGTCCAGTACTAAAAGTACGACCCTTATCAGTTTACATTCTCGTTGTTTGTAAATAACAATCTATACATATGTATATATAATAAAATTCTAATTGAATCGAAACTGTACATTATTTTTTGAAAAATCTATAGTTTAGCCGAATCTATAGTTTTTAGATTTTTTGTCTATCTCTCTGTCTGTCTGAGAACCCATCACAAGAATACGATTGGACAGATTTTGATGAAATGGGTATGATGATTGCTGGTCATCGGCGTCAACATATAAGATATTTTTTACTGTGGGAAAATATCTCATCTCTGAAGAATCTATACAAAACGTTAAAACGTAACTAGGGATGGACCCGAGGGGAGCGCGGGTGAGTCGCTAGTAATATATAAAGCAATAACCATACTCCACTATGGAAAAATCTGAAAAATGTGTGTTATTTTATAAAGGTTACTGCGGTTAATATCTCGATCCCTTCAAATAAAACTGCGCTTATAAAAAGGGTTCGACGGATTTTAATGATTTTTTTTTATTACAAATAACAGTTGAAATCTACACATACAATAAAATTATAACTAATCGCTATCTGTTCATGGAAAATATTTGAGAAAAGCTATTATTGGGGGTCTTTATTATCGCAATATAACCCAAAACAATGGTTTTTAGAATAATAATTATTGTTTATTTGTCTGTGCGTTTGTGCGCGCTAATCTAAGAAACGGCTTAACCGTTTTGGATGCGGTTTTCAATAATATTTTGGGGTAAGCTTCACTTAATAATATTTAATATTTGTTTTATTTCAATCGGTCCATAAATAAAGAATCACCTAGTGACGAACCCGAGCAAAGCAAGCGTCTGTCACTAGTTACTTATATTTTGTATCACAGTTTAATTTTATTTTGCTTATAATATATTTATAACACGTAAATTTTCAAAGTAATTATTATGACATTTAGGCGACTATGTGAAATTTTATTTATTTCGGAATATTTTTCGGTTTTACTTTATTTTGTTTTTGATAGTTTGTTTCGAAAATCATTTTTATAACAATTTGTAAGGTACTTAGGTGCAATTCATTTTCCTTCCAAATCATTGTATAATTTTGTTTGTTCAAACCCTCTGTAATATAATTTATTACTTTTGAGATATCAAAAACCTAAGTCCAAGCTGGAGTTTGTGTATCGCAAACAGATTCGAAAAAGATTATTGTAATTAAAATGTAAATAAGCATAATATTATATACTACATATATATAAACTATTCTTTAGAAGTACTTAATATAACTTGGGAATATTGTAAAAATTCTGAAAATTGCTGGCACCGACTTCGAAAATATCTGATTAGGTATCTATTCTAAACCAACCCGCCGGTTAGTTATTTTTTTACATTTTTGTGCCTGGAAGTCGGTTATCATTTTTTTTAAGTTTTTATCGATACAGAAGTCAAATCTATAGTTATTAGAATTTTGATAATATTCGGTATATTTAATGAGCTGATTATCTGAGCCAACTTATTATTATAGAATAATGTTTACTGCCGAAATATATCCTATTTCTGAGAAAAAATAAAAAAAGCTGGTTAGAATAAAACGCTGCAAACATAAATATTTTAACAAGGTAACTTACAATGATTACAAAAAATAATGATACATAGCTTCTTCTGAAAAAACTACATCAGTAGGCAAAATTTCATACGTTAAAATAATGTCAATGAATATAGATATCCCTATATTTTTCTTAAATATTTTTCTATGTGTTTCCGCCAATAGTAAGCCTACATAATTTTTATTGCTACCCGCTTCCTTTTTATATACACGCCTGAAATTTGAAGGGCTTTCATACGCAGTTAGTTCGCAATTCACATAGTAATAACCTTAATATTATTTTCTAAAATAGAAAATATATTTTCTACAAGCACGTTAACTTATGAACCGCGACTAGAAGAAACCTTTCCATGGACCTTGATATTCCATATTACACTCACTTATATATTTACTGCAATATAAAGTTTTATTGAGAAATCCTGTGTTCGTTTCATAAAACTTTAATAATAAGTTACAGTAGTAGCAGCTCCAAAGAGATTTGCAAAGTAAAATCCATTTTGCACCGATCGCAATTTTCAGCTTATAAAAGCCTATTATTCCGCTAGAGAGTTTACTGTATTTTAAGAAAAAATAACTTTCCTTACCATTTTCACTTGAAAAGCGAAAACAAAAAAGCATTTTACTATATGGAGAAAATAAATCTAGATTAAAAAAAATGTATAAATAAAAATAAAGAATAGATGTATACAATGTAAATAAATTAAAACAAAGAAAAAAACTACATAATATTGTGTGATTAGTAAAATTTCGATTTTTTTAACAATAATAAAAAAAATATTCAAATCCTCAATATTTTAATTTATAATGTGATGAATTCACAAAAGTATAAATACGAATGGACACAAAACATACGTTACTAAGTTAAACTAATAACAGTCGAATAGGATAAAATTTTTACGTAAGTACAGCCACAGATACATAAAGTACAGCCAAACTATAACTAATTCAAACACATAAAAACATATTTTGCTAATAATCATCATCATGATAGTAAGCTTGTTTTTGTTCACTGCTAGGCATAGGCCTCTCCTTTGGCACGCGACTATGTTCGATCTTCAGCTTTACGTATCAGCTGCCAGCCTTTACTAATGTCGTCGCTCCCTATAGCTGGAGGGCCTCCTACACTACGTTTGTCGAGCCGTAGTCTCCACTCCAAAACCCGTCTACTCAATCGGTTTTCGGTTCTGCGATAAATGTGACCAACCCACTACCATTTCTGCTTACTAATTCTTTCAGCTGTGTCGATAATTTTGCTTCTTTGTCTTTGCTAATACGAGACTAAATGTACCGTGGACAGTTACTGCAAGTTGGTAAAAACTAATTTGAGAAAAAAGCTCGAATAAGAATATAGCTGGGCTGGGCAGCATTTAGTAAACTTCGTTGAGTATTTTCATTGTCAATACCGTAAGCCTAAAAACAAAGGATTGGATCCGAAATGAAGAGATCCGACAAGGAACCAAATTTTTGCTAATAAATAGTGGTATCCGTTCAATATAATTTTTAGTAATAGAAGCTCACATGAGATTTAAAAAGTAAAATCGATTTTGAATTAATTACAATTTCCATTTGTCAAAGTCTGATCGTATACTTTTATGATAGTTTGTTAACACACCGATAAAAGCAAATCATAATGTGCATTATAACATTAGTAAGAAGTCTCTAGTCTGGTATATTATAATCGCTCGGGTTCGTCCCTAGGTTGATTCCCCATACAAACTTACATCCCCTTAAGGAATTTCTTCGACCATTTTCACCCTCTGAAGGGATGATTTCCGGGATAAAAATTATCCTACGTCCTTTCTAGAGTTTAAAACTATCTTCTTACTAAATTTCATCTAAATCGGTAGAGTAGATCCAGAGTTTACCCCCTACAACGTCATAAACTCACAATTCACAAACTCACAAACTTTACCTCTTTATAATATTAGTATAGAATATAGATAGTCTATCTATCCCATACAAACCGTTAAAATGTACCTAGGGACGAACCCGAGCGAAGCGAGGGTGCGTCGCTAGTATTATTATAGTTTTTCAAATAATCCCTACAATCTTTTGATGATACTAATTCTTGTTACTATTAAGCTACCGTGCAACTTCACACCAGCTATCAAGTTTGCGTGACTGCAAAATGAAGTGTCTAAATATGGAAACCATGTTTTGTACAGTGATGTACGACAAGACAGCATAATTGATGATCTATTAAAGCTCAAATAAAGCTTTCGATAGATAACTATTGATGGATATCAGGTACTTTACCAGTTTTATAATTTATATGAGACTATGAATTAATCTAGTAGAATAAAAGTATTTTCGCCTGTTTTTAGACAAAATTATAGAGATATAAATAGATTTTAAGATTTATATACCATATTATATTTCCATAAGACATGGTCTTGATACCTTGCCATCGATCCCATAATACCTAATGCTACATTTATGTAAATTTTTTATCAAAAACGATGCTGATATATTTTCTAATAATTGCAACCAATTACATAAAAAATAATAGTACCCAGAGACTGCTTAAAGTATCGTAGAGGAAGTTTATTATGTTCAAGAATCAGAAGAAATAAAATTTTTATTTTCATA